GTAGCTTGAATCTGTTTCCCGTTTGCAATTTGTATTTTCTCACAGTGCAGGTGTTGCTCTCACTCTCAATCTATCTCCATTTCTCTCTGTCTTTACATGCTCCACCATATTGTGCTATTTGTAAAACTATTTTTATCTAAAACGTTTTCTTGTTGTTATTTCACTTTTCTACTCTTCTCTCTTTTTTTTTCATTTTATGGGTTCGCCTACAAAACTTTTTTTTGCTGAACGTTTGATGCATCATTGACACACCGTTGCGCCCACACCTACCGAATGCCGACTCCCGCATGTGCCATGATAACAACAACAACCACTACTACCACTACGACTGCTACTACTACAACAACTGCAACAATGAGTACAGCTCGTATTCGTGTTACTGCATTGACGGCTACACAGGGATCCAGTGCCAAACGAATTGGGACGAATGCTGGTCGGGCCCCTGTCAAAACGGCGGCACATGTGTGGACGGTGTTGCCTACTACAACTGTACGTGTCCGGAAGGATTTTCTGGTAAGTGTGTGCGGTTTATTTTTGCGCTACGCCAACACAAATACACGTACACACACACACACATACATACATACATACGGGCAGACAGACATACGACTACACACAGATCCCACAGATAGTACAACAAATACTACGAGTAAGTACTAAAAACTTGCACGGCCCACTGAACAGCCTCTTGCGCTCTCCATGTGTGTGAGTGTGTGTGCTCTGTTACAGCATCGCACACCACGTGCAAAATGTATTTTTATTAAGCCAACGCAAAAAGAAATAAAGAAATGAAATAATACAAATACGAGACGCCCACAGCAGGCACTCTAACACGAAATGCAACCACAAAAACGAAGCCTCGTCTGGCCACCTACGGGTAGAACTCTCGGCGAGACTCTGAATGCACCGACGCACGCCAAACGTATTTGTAAAATTTACCCAAAAAAAAAAAAAAAAAAAAAAAAAAAAAAAAAAAAAATACACGCTTTACCATGAATGAAAGTCCTTAAGCTAGAAGAGTAAAAACTTATGTCTGAAAATATAAAATTTATTGTATAAAATTATTGTAAAAATTAATTTTATAGTACATTCTAGAAGTGTTGAAAATAGTAATAAAATAGATTTTTGAGTACGTACTAAAATTTTACTAAAGAGTACTAAACATTCACTTTACATTACATTCTATATGTGTACTAAAAGTGTACTAAGGATTACTAGAAATAAATTTTATAGTACATTCTAGTTGTGTACTAAAAGTGTACTAAAGAGTACTAGAAGTGCATTTTATAGTAAATTCTATCTGTGTACTAAAAATGTACTACGAAGCACTTCAAATACTATACACTATATGCTGTATAGAAAAATTATTCTATTTGCACTATTATATAGATATCATAGTAAAAGAAATATTTTTATTTTTATATTTCTATATTAATAAAAAAAAAAAAATACTTTTCCACTCTGACAGTACTTTGCACTATTATATAGATATCATAGTAAAAGAAATGTTTTTATTTTTATATTTCTATATTAATAAAAAAATACTATTCTACTCGGACATTACTTTGCTAACCATATCAAAAAGAGTATTAAATTATGCGCCTTGTCCAAAATGACCATTTCTACTTGTTTCTGGCTTTACTTTTTTACTGCATTCACTCACATGTGTCTATTATTCTTTAAACGCTTGAGTAAGAAAGCAAAACTGGGAAATAACACAAGCAAAAAAACACAGACAAATTTTAAAAGAAAGCAGAGAAGTTTCAGCAGCACTTAAGCCGAAAGTTAGTTACGCTTACAAATTTCGTACTAGATTACTAAATTAAAACTACAAATTTATGCAGCTAAGCTAAGCTAGCAAGAAAAGTTTTAACACGAACTTAAATAGCTTTAAGTTTTACTTAAAATTTTGAGAAAAAAAAAGTAAAACCCCAATATTAATTTTCTACAGCTCACATCTTGCTCTGAGAAAATGCTCTATAATATCTGACAGAAACGACGAAACTTCAATATTATGAAGCTGTGGCAAAGCTCCTGCTCCTGCTGAAGCCAACTTTAATGTTGTCTATTGTGGTAGTCAATGTTGGGTTCTTAACCTGCCACTTGCTACGTGTGAATTGTTGTGTGGGTCTCCAAGCGTGTGTCTGTGTGTGTATATTTATATATGTGCACGCGTGCGTGTGTTTGTGTGTGTGCGGAAGTCTCAGCATGAATGTATCTAATGTTCATCCTTTTGGCTTCGTGTACTTTCCGTCCGTTACGTATATATATATATATATAAACACATTTACTTTTGCTACGTGTGAGAAGCACTTAGTTGGGTCTCTTAATATATATATGAGTGTGTGAGTGTATGTGTGTGTTTGAAAAGTATCTAGGAGTTGACTTTATAAAATTTAGTGAAATTTATAGCCATCGTGTAGATGTTATATGCATTACCCATCAACAGCAACTAATACCAAATACAAATTGCTACAAATTTGTGGTCCATGAAACTTGGCAAAGCCAATAGCTCGGGTGGTGTGCGGGGCGTACGGGGTGAATGTGATCCAGGAGTTGGTGGCAAGGTGTTAGGTAATTGACACACAGTTCGGATTAGCAGTTTTAACCCAAAACTGTGAAAACATGTCGGAGCTTAGCAAATGCGAATGGTTAGGCGTAGCAGATGTCGCTTAAGCTAAGCACTTAACATGATTTTGTGACATGGATCAGTGGGGCTACATTAGCTTAGAGCCAATTTGTAGGCATTCGCAAATACAAAGTAGCTGATGATAAAGACGATGATTACTTAAGTACTAATTAAGGCAGCACCTCAGACAGTTTTAATTATGAAAATGAAGCACCTGGCAAACACCTGTAAGTGCTCTTGAGGTCAATATGAAGTGTTCAAGCATCTTCTTTTTTTTTATTCTGTTGATTATACTTTTCGAGACAAAATCTTGACGAGACAATCTAAAAGTATTTCTCTGTATGTATATATGAATCTGTGTTAATGGGGCCTCTACTTGAGCACCCTCAATTCTCTTATCTCATGCCAAACATATTCAAGACTCAAATAATTCATAATTATACATATTCGGTTCTATTTTACTCGTTTGCTCTTGATTATACTGTAATTATCTTTAATATTATGTAAGCTACACTCAACTATTTGTTACTTCGCATTACTCATACGAATCGTTTGACGCCACTTGTCTGCGGTTTGCACTCTTTCATATTCCCCCAACACAACAATTGCATTAAATTAGCATAAATAAAAGTGTAGAAAAACACGCGGACAAAAACACGAAGGCATTAAGCACTGCAAATGAAATTAGCGCAAAATAACAGAAATAGAAAAAAATAAATAAATAAGAACGTTATTCACTCGACTAGCAGAGAATTGAATACACTACAGATTTTTTCTGGAGAATAAAAACTTTGAACTAATCAAAACTGTTTAAAAATTTTAAAAAGTAGACTAAAATATTGAGTAAAAGCAGTATTTTAATACTAATCATTTTGTAAATTTATATACATAAAAAATTGCAGCTAAAAGTTTACTCCATGCAAACATTTCTTCATTCGTTGCAAATGCCATAACAAATTCGTAATGCTCTTCTACTTGGAGAAAAAAAAAAATATATATATATATATGAAATTATGCACTGCGCTGGTTATGCTAACGATTTAAAGTGGATCAAGCAGAAAATAATACATGTGTAATAATTATATTGTAATATACATATGTGCATTTGCACATATGTATATTGTATAATAAGCAGATGGTTCAAAAAAGTGAAAAAGCAGGAAACGAAGCTGAAAACTATGCAAAAAAAACGTTAAAAAACACACACACACACACACACACTTATAAATTCTATATATACACGTACTATGAAATCAAATGGTTTGAATGAAAAAGAGCAAAAAAAAAGGAAATACTAAACAGAATATAAGGGAAAATAGTCAACAAAAAGAAAAGCGCATTGAAGAGAGAGAGCGAGACGGTAAGGGCGTGTAACCTCAACTCCCATGGTTGCCTGTTTAACCGTTTGTTGAATTCAGAAACGCCGAAAAAAATGCAAAAGTCTACCCAAAAAAAAAACAAAATTCGTGCTGCAATTAAAAAAATTGAAAATGATAAGCCAAATTATAGCGACTAAAAATACTTTGTATTTTCAGTAACATAGTAGCATTAATTTATAGGAAATTTCAGAAATTTCAGACCACCCTCTACACACAACTTGTCGTCGACTATTGAAACTAAAACTGTTTGAATTTTAAAGAGCCATACAATATTTGCAAATAACAAAAAATTAAAAAATTTTAAACAAAAGAACTGACGGATTAAAAATTCTTTATTTTTTAATTAAATATCAAACCCTATTAAAAAGCTAAACGTGAATGAAAGAAAATCAATTAAAAAATCTTTAACACATTGCATTATAAATTCCCAAGTTTCAATTAAGAAGCATTCTTTAAATTCTGAAATGTAAATAGTAATAAATAAAATCGACCAAAACTTATAAAAAATGCTACAAAATAAATTTAATTAGAATAATTCTTATATATATTAAATGTTTTGTGCTATTTCTATTTATTTCTATTTGAATATCATAAAAATTTTTAATTATAAAAAAAAAAATATAGATTCTAGAGAAAAATTAGAAAACTAATAAGATACATCAATAATATATTGCCCATATTATAAACAAATTTCGGATATACCCCTCAGGCAGCCCTCATTATTTACAGGATATTTACATTAAAATGGCTTCTACAATGCTGAGCTGAGCAAACGCTCTAATTAATATTATGAGCGCTTCGCGTTTGTTTGCCTTTCACCTTTTGATGTGCATTTGCTTTTACAGCTGCATTTTGAGCATATCGCGCCCCTTTGAGTGGATCATTGCTTTGCCAGATATAGGAAACTCAACAAACATTCGCACGCCCAAAAGTCGGCTATGTTTTCGTTTATTGTATTTTTTTTGTTGGTTTTTTGTTTGCGTCCCACTTACCGAGTTTTCTGGTTACTATCACAACGAACAATTGGCAGGTAGGTAGCAGGCTTAGCCAAGTTAATTGTTAGTTTTGCTTTGCTTTGCTTTGATATGGTTTTGGTTCCAGGCTCGTCTGCTCGTTATAGTTTCCTTTGCAGCTCTTATTTTCTTCTTCCTTTTTTTTGGGGTTACTCTGCTTAATTATCTGTATGCTGTAATTTCTGCTGCTTTTCGCTGTTGTATACCTGAAATGTAAAGAATGTAAAGAATATCAATGTAGTAGACAAGGTTAAAGAAAATAAGTACGCAAATGTAATGAGAGTAAAGCTTGAAAGCCACGGCAACGCAGGGCAAGCCAAGCCAAGGCTGTGGTTTGGTTTGGTTTGGTTTAAAGAACTAACTGAAAGTGATATCAAAGTTACATAAATTGAAATGAAAGCGAAGCCAGTAGAGGAGATTTGTGTATATATAGAATAGGGGTACAAATATATAGTTAGTCAGAAGCAGTTTGCAGCTTGCATTAGATTTTCTCTCCTGAGAGTTGAGATGCTTAAGATATGCTTAGAAGAAGAACTTCCTTAACAAGTTATATACATGGTAAAGCATTCGAATTTTCATTTATGAAAACAAGCTATACGTTTCATTAACTCCAATACATGAACTACAGATATAAGTCAAACTCCAACTAAACTCGCAAAAGCAGCTGGATAGAGTATGGTTGATATCACAGAGAATCATTGTCATTCCATAAGCCATCTTTGAATAAATTATTTGCCTAAAAAAAACTATAGTATTACTATAATTTCTTTAAGGTATAATATTTTTCATATCAGCTCTCAGTTAAGTTATGGCCAACAGCAGCAGCAGAATCTATTGCTCATTGCACAACTCTAATGGCAGGGCAACTAACAATACTGCAATGCTCAGCAGGATAACCTTGCTCTCTTTGGCACACACGCACACCCCACCATACATACACACTCACACACACACACACACACACACACACACTCGCATACACAATAGTTTTTATGCCGAGCTAAAGGCATCTTCTTTGCTCCCTTTATGCAATCATTGCAGTCGGGCCAACATTTGAGAGCATCGCATAGACCAAAGGAACTTAGGGGCATTCATCGCGAAAACAATGCAAATTGCAGTTGGAAGCCATTGCCAGGCCTATTCACATTGAAATTCGCATTTCATATTCAAGCAAACAACAGAATCTTCGGTTGCAAGGCAACAATAAGCAAAGGTTTCAGAAAAAAAAACAAAAAAAAACGAAAGAACCTCCAACTCAGTTGCGAGATACTCGCTTGAAAGATGATTCTAATAATATAGAGGAATGAAGAAAAAAAAAAAAAAATAACATTTTGTATTGAAAATTTTATAACATTTATAACAATTTATAAAAATTTTCAAAACTTGCAAAAACTGACTTAACTGCGAATAACTTAGCTGCGAATAAGCAGAAATAGATTTTGCTGACAAAAAGCTTTAATCTTAGCTTGATGTGATAAAGAAACCATCAGTATAATATATCAGCTTGATAAGGCTTCTAAGAGCTGTTATCTGTTAGACTATTAAACTTTTTTCTCTGCTATATGATTTATCTCACACTCTATATACCCCTGCAAAGCATTACCATTGAGGTATTTTATTTTATATAAAAATGCATTCAAATTGCAGCATTGCAGATTTATGTACATATATATTCTCATATATATGTATATCCTCATTTTGCTGATTGTGCTTTAACTTTAGCTCGACTTTATTTTATTTGCATGTTTATATTGCAAATTTTCGCCAGCCACCTCTTAAGTTTTCCACCTTTATCAGCAGTTGAATATGAATATGTACATAGTCACAACGGAAACGGGGAATGTGTTTGTTCACCTCTCTCTGTCTACTTCTGAATCTCTCTCTCTCTCTCTTGAGCTCTCTCGCTCTCGAGCCAGCTGCACCTCTTTGTCTCTTATGCGTTTTCACGTATTCAATGCACATTCATTCAATCAAACATGCATTTGGCTCAGCTGCGCATTCATTCATACCTTCATTTCGCGTACCGACAGATTTTTTGTCTTCCTGCTGCCTTTTTAATACACTTGCGTAAGGAGCATAATGGTTTTCGGATACAGATACAGATACAGATACAGATACAGATACAGATACAGATACAGATACAGATACAGATACAGATACAGATACAGATACAGATACAGATACAGATACAGATACAGATACAGATACAGATACAGATACAGATACAGATACAGATACAGATACAGATACAGATACAGATACAGATACAGATACAGATACAGATACAGATACAGATACAGATACAGATACCTGTTAAAGAAATAAAATTCACATTGATCCCTTATCCCTTTATCTCTCAGTAAGCGCATTTAAACTTCCACATGCCCCTGAAAACCCTTCCATTACTATTTTCTCTTCTTTTTCTTTTTCTTTTTTGCCAATCGGCATTGCCTTTGTGCAATTTTTGCCTTACAGGCGACAGCTTCAAGCGATTGCTCCATTTTCGCTTTGGTGGTGCCAGCTGGCCCCACCAGCTCCCGCTTATTCATAACTGTGGGGCAAATACTATTTGGGACATTTAAGTCGCATCGTTTCCAATGCAACTTTAAAATGTTGGCAGTGGGTGATTTATCGAGGGACCAAAAAAAGAGGACTGAAAAAAGGAAACAAATCGAAATTCATTGAATTTCACGTGGCTCAACGATTTACATAAATTTTTTATTTCATTTGCTCAATGGGCGTTAGATGGAACGAAAGAGAGATAGAAGGGATAAATAGAGCGAGAGAGAGCGCAAACATTTCAGTAATATGGTACCCAATATTAAAATACATTTGCGGCTATCCAATTGTCCTCATTTTGTAGCTAATCAATTGCCTTTTGGGGATTTTAGTTTTTCCGATTTTGCTGTGCGTGTGTGTATGTATGGGTGTGTGGTGCTGTGTGTGACGTGAAATAAAATATTCATAATATTGCATATTGATTTTATAATGGAATCTTTAGAGTTTATTGAACTTTTATGCAGCTTTTGACACGCTTCATATTGGATTTGGGATTAGCATTAGCTATATAAACATAACAATTTATTGTGTTTGATAGCAATAAAAGCAACGCACACGCTCTTTGTGCACAAAATTAGGTTCATTGTGAAATATAAATAAAAAACAAAAACAAAATATGCTAATTGCTAGCCATAATTTGCTATAATTTGAATATAATAGAAAGCATTAGAAATATATTTAATAGGGCTTGAATATGTGTTAAGCTTAAGAGGATTTTATCTGTAATATATAGCTATAAATGTGACCTATTAGGTAAACAAAATTTAACAAAAATTTAATATTCAGTAATGCCGCTTATCATATGCTAAATATTAGCTAACGCTAACTAACTAAACAAATATAACAAAGACTTATTCCAGTAAATGAAAAATAAATACGTCAGCATCAACAGAATGCCGAGAGCTACTCAGAGCCTTAGTTAAAAACATTTAATTAATTAGCACATATTGCATGTCTCTAGCCATACTATTCACTCTAGAAAGGCCCCTACAGAGAGACAGAGATAGAGAATAGGATGAGAAAGAGAGAGAGAGAGTCGTAAACATGTTATGCTGCTGCTGTGCCAGCTGCAATGCAATTTTCTCACTTATAAATTTAGCCATTGAAGTTCAACACAATACTTTCTAATTTTACGCAACGTTGCTGCCAGTCGGTAGAAAATTTTCCACATGCATTTCAATGGAAAAGCAGGAAAGCTGCGACAGCCAGCCAGCCTAGATGTGCCGATTCAATAGAGATTGGCAGACAAAAAAAAAAAAAAAAACGAAAAAAAATATCAGTAATTGTATAAAATACCAAGAACTAAAAAGTAAAAGGAAAATGAAATTCAAGCTAGAAATATAGTACAAAATTCAATTAATTAAAAGCTGTACAGCACACACACAAACACAGCCCAATACATATATTCTTTACAACAGAAGAGGCAGCTGCAATTGCCGTGAAAATGAGCTTGCCAGGATTCAATGTGGCTGGGGCTTGCAATTGTCCTGGCGCCGCTTGGGGAATTCCAGCTGATGCCTTCCGTTGGCACAGCGAAAAAGTGCAATTGAAAGCGCAACAATGCGCACCACAAGACATTCAAGCAGCCATATGACCCACCCACCGAACCACCGAAGCCACCCACACCAGAAGCCAAGGGATATGCGAATTCGAATCGCTTGGGCGCCAGGGCCAAAACCCCCTCCCCCGCCCCCATTCATTTTGTTGACTGAATGACGTACTCGAATTGCTTTAGCAGCATTCAGCGCTCGGATTTAAGGTTGGCTTCTGTGATTAGTTTCCCCGCAGCATTCACAGATGAGCTCAAGTGCATTTCATTGCTCACTGTCACGTCGAGTAGTTTCGGGTCGAAAATCCAAAAGCCACCAAAATAGATTGCCCTTCGCTTGGATCAAGCGCGCATACAAATCGCATGGAAATACTCCAAATAACAATTGCATATATATAAATATATAAATAAATATAGGTGGTATACACATATATACTGCAATTATATATATATTTTATTACCAGGGGGCATGCCACATTTAAGTCTAATATATGATAGCTAAAGCCTGCGGGTGTGCGCTCATTTCCATGCAATTAACTGTTATTGCAGGTGTTTTTCAGCTTTAATATTAGGTATATAAACTTAGTTCAGAGGACTCTTTAAGAACTGTTTAATTATTTATTAAATCGTGTTGAGCTGATTTGGCAATTTTTATGATGTAACGGTTGTTAAAGCTTTTTTCATTGAGCCAATGCTTTCCCTTTTTTTTTTTTTTTTTTTTTTTTTTTCACTGCTCCATGTCGTATTCGATACACATACGTAAGTCATATTAACAGCTCTCTCGCCTATAAGGAAATTGAATTAAAGTGCATTTCATTGGGTTCTCATTTACATTTCACTTTTACTTAAATCAACAGTAAATATATATATATATATATATATATATATATATATATATATATATATATATATATATATATATATATATATATATATATATTCAATAAAAACCGTTTTGTAATTGCATTATTGTTAAGTATGTATTTGATTTCACTTTTAATTAATACATTCACTTTGAGCAAGGACGTTGGCAATAACCTTTATATACATACGTAAATGTACAAACACTATATATAGCGTATATATAGTTTATCGTTC